ATCACCACACCTATAAAGGTGCAGTACGCAAGCTTTCGACCATCTTTACAGCATTAATATGGGTGTGTATATTTAGGAGTAGTGGTGTCCTTAGCATAGAGAAATGTCAAACTCCCCCCTGTGCGCGTTGTAATGCGAGATTTCCTGTTCCATATTTTAACAGCAGCTTCCACTGTTCGCAAATGTTAGTGCATGTGAGTCCCTTTGAAGCTGTTGGGCCTCCCTGTGCTTACAAACACACTACACCTCAAAAAAATCCAAAAAGATGGATGTCCTGATCCAGTTCCCCCCACCCATGATCTGATCCAAGTCATTTCACATGTAACCCCAATCTGTTTCCATTTTCCTCAATAAAACACACCTCAAGCATTGCAGATTAGCTAAAGTACTTGGTTTTGCCATCGGGTGGAGCCTCCTACTGTTTTACACTGTAGTGACAAGAGAAAATGATCAGTTACGTGTTGGCATGCAGAGAGCATTATGAGGGTTTAGCTTGTAAAGGGGCACCATGACATAGTTATCTGTGTGATTTAATGACCTCCATGTGGAGCAGGAAGTGAACTTGTGGCCTGTATCATGTGTTCATAGTTTCACATTGCAATATCAGCACGAGACAATGTCCGATGTACTCAGTTTGTAACATAAAATGAACAGTTGTTGATGCTGCATTCTTTGTGACAGTGGAAATAGTTAAAGGATTGGACGAAGGTTGAACTAGTGCTGATCAGTTAAAAATATATTTGATCTGCTTGGATCTTAGGGTTTTATTTATATTATGTACCTCAGCTACGTGCACTTGTGCCACACTCATTTTTGTGTCGCTTTTCACTCCTTCAAAAAGTGGATTCAGTCAATCCGGGGTTGTTTTTTTCCCCGTCCAACGAACTGTGGAAACTACGGAACCCCGGAAGGGACATGGAGAAAGAAAAAAAAAAAAAACAGGGAGAGGGGGAAAAAAAATAGAGGTATCTTTTGCGAGATCTCTCAAAACTTTCTCGGCAAAAGTCCCATCAATGTTATTGGATGTTTTGTGAAAACTGCGCCTCTTGCTAAACACTGCTTGAATGTCTTTATATTTTCGGCCGATTTCAAAATAAAACTCAATAAAACTCTCGAACGGGTGGGTGTCCTCCATTGTCATTTCTACATACTGTCAAAAAAGACCCAGAAGTATATATACCTATACTTTTCTTCTTCTTCTATTGATTTGGCGGTTGGCATCCAATGTCAGGTGCATTACTAACTAATCCCCCAACGGACTGGAGTTACCTATAGTTTAGTGAGATCTCGCAAAAGTTATTGCGAGATCCCGAGAAAATTTTGCGAGATCCAGAGAAAGTTTTGTGATCTCGCAAAAGATACCTCTATTTTATTTTCCTTTCCCTGTTTTTTTTCTGTCTCCTTGTCCCTTCCATGTACCCATTTATTTATTCGCTCATGCCGTTGCTCTTGAGACACTCATTGCCTCTAAATGCTGCACACAGAACCTTTAATAATGCTGCCATAAACTAAAGGCAAGCTGAATTTTTCAGATCCTCCGGGTTATGCCAGAGAGACATCCTTCGCGTCCATACACCGCTGAGTTGGAAAAACGTTTCAGGGATGCTGAGGGAGTCTTTGTGGAGTCCCATCCTGCTGAGGTAAGACAGAGTTCACGTATGTGTACCTACGTGTAAATCACACTGAAAAGCTCACAGTGAACGAGTTATTTATGAGAGGGTTTTGTTTTTTTTGTTTTTTTTAAGATGTCAACTATCTTATGAATGCATGTTTATTCGCCCGCAGATAGCCTGTCTGACAGTTCTTTTCATATGTGTGCCCAGGTGTTCCAGCAAGAGCTTCCAGACACAATCCAGGACATTTGGGATGGTTTAACAGAGGAGCCTGACAGAGTGCCAGACTTCAGCTGGCGATTTGCTTCTCCAAAATCCCTCTTGGACAACCTCTGCCACACCATGTTCTGCCTGTTCAGCGAGTGCTTCGCCAGCACAGAACCTCAGCAAGACTGTGAGTATATAATGCTAAGCCCCCCGAAGACACTGTAGACAGGAACTAAAAGCTTTTCCCTATTACAGTGATGAACCACCTAAAGCAAAGACTAATTTTTAAAAACAGCTTTCCCATACCAGCATTTTAATGGATTTATTACATCAAAGTGGGATCTGATATAAAATCCACAGGAAGCGCATTCTAGTATGTCAGAATCTTGAATTTAAGGTGCCACCAACATTTGTTTTTCATCTAAACTTTGGAGTAGCCAAGACTTTGAAGCCATGATCTGCCTCAGACGGGCTTGGAACATCTTGAGGTGGGTGTGCATTTTTTCACATCACATGCAGATCTGTCTGTCGGGAGCCAACTGAAATGTCAGATCAGATGTAACACAAACAGAATTATGGTGACAGTCAGGGCATTATACACCCATTATTTTTCCTTTTCCAGCCCTATTATGTCGGGTTAGATGTCTTTTCACTCCCTTGGTCAAACCATATAGCCAAGCCTTTGATGCTCTGGATCTTGCTGGAGACTTTGCCAAGCCATTTGGATGAATTTTGTTTCTCCAGATTACATAGAGTTGTATAAATCTGCAAACAGAAAATTTATCATAGACACTTGGATTCCAACTTCTCAAAAATGTACCACTACACACACACACACACACACACACACACGAGTATTTTTCAGAAAAACTCATCACAAAACAAACTAAACCATGGGAATGCAGTAAATTGTAACATTACCTAAATACAGTGGAAAAAACTTTTGGATTCATGCAGCAGCTTATAAAGTCCTCTGGAGGACAACTGGGAAGAGAGTTTAACAGGCAGTTTCAACTTTAACAAGCTTCCGTTTCAGTAGTGTGACACACCTGGGGAAATAACAAGTCCTTAGATGTGAAAACATGTCAGTCACAGTAATTAACATTTCAAATGGCCTGTGTAGCTTCGCTTGTGTTTCGAATTGCTGATTGCTGAGGTAGGTCTAGCTGTACTGTTTCTGGCCTCTGGATTTAGGACATGGCTGTGGCTATCCAAAAGGCGATATGCTCATAGTGTCAGGACGTGACCACATGTTTGGGAGGCCCGAGCATATGGTGACTGAGCTCATGTGAATTCATTCATCAAAATAAGTAGTGTTACACTGATGTGTGCCTCATGTGGCTCTAAGTCCAGCTCAATGGACCCCCGCAAGAATGACCTACAAAAAAAAAAAAAAAAACAGCATCCAAAGTGCAATATCTGTCTTTTATTTTCATTTAACCTTTATTTAACCAGGTGAGTCCCATTGAGATTGACATCTCTTTTACAAGGGAGCCCTGGCCAAGAGGGCAGCAACAAGGTTTACAACAATACAACACACAAAAAATAAGCTAAGTAATGTAACATCACTATAAGGCATAAATACATGGAACACATACAGTACATAAAAACTCATTTAAAACAGCTACAGACTTCTTTTTTTACAGTTTGTAACAAACATTTAAAATCTCCCAGGGAAACAAGGTCAGACAATTTGAGCGTTTTCTGGATCAAATTCCAGGACCAAGGGGCAAAACGAAACAAATAATAATAATAATCTGTCTTTTATATTATGTTTCCTGCAGCTGTCAAATAGCAGTGGGCTTCATAAGGCACACACCTTGCTCATAGCAGACATCTTGAAAAGGGGAAACATAGGGCCAACACATTTTGTCCCCCCCCCCCTTTAGAGCCAATCCTTGTCCCGAAGTTACGGATCCAACTTGCCGACTTCCCTTATCTGCCTTGTTCTAACGTGCCAGAGGCTGTTCACCTCAGCTCCATCCAATGTGCTAGTGAGTCATGACAGCGAGACAAAACCAGACCGGTGAACGTTTGCACTTGTACGGATCATTCTGTTGTAAATGTGATGAAGCAGTGCATTAAAGGAGCCATATAAAGCTTTATTGGCTTTTCTCTTTCCTTTACTACTCTATAGCTTACAAAGCCCTAAAGCCCCTATGGGAGTTATTCTCTTTCACAGAAAACCTTACCTGCCTCCTTTAAAGTCCAGACGCTTCTTCTTCCATTGCTTATGTATTTCACCAATAGGCAGCTTCTTTTAAGTCCATGATTATTTCCTCGCTTCCCAGCAGGTCCAACCCCACAGGTATGTTTGTGGCTGTTAGTGCATGTGAGTCCCTCCCGTTGAAGCTGCTGGCCGTCCCTATGCTTTTCAACAGACTGAAAGGGAAAGGGCTTCAAAAACCAGAAACAGACATTACCAAGTTGGCAAATAGAGCACGGTGGAGGTTTAACAAGTAAAGTCATTTTTTTCGTTACTTCTGTACGTCACCAATGAGCAGCTTCTTCACAGTCCATTATTAAAACATTTTCTCTGTAAAGCCGCCTCTGCTAGAATTACATCATAGATCTGGGTTTAGGGTAAGTAACCAATGCTGCCTTGATTTTGCTGTGAAAGCTGATCAATTGGAGTGGAGTGGGCTTTTTATTGGAGACAGGAGAGAGACAGGAGCTACAGCGTTTCAGACAGAGGGCGCAATCTGATGTGAGCAAAATAATGTGTTTTTTGCTTCTTCTTTTTTTTACATAAAGATATATAAAAATGTATGACCTGTTTTAGATAGAGTCATTAGGTAGTCTCTTTATAAAGATGGAATGGGGGCACCAGTGATGCTGGCTCATAGACTGCATATTAAATATAGACGTAGCTGTTGTGATGTCATGCATTGGTTTGTGAAGTTTTGAAGTCTCAGGTTAGATCATGAATTTGGAAACCAGAAATAATGAACAAGCAGTAGATCTGACTGGAGAATCAAATGACGCCATGCATACCCAACATTATCGTATTTTTTAAAACCTCTACATAGGACCATACTGTACAAAATGAACATCATGCTGTAATAACAAAAAAGCCTAGAAACCTGCGGTTAAGACCACAAACTCATTCATTAGGAAAATGTTTACTGAGCTAACAGATCAGATTCTCATAGGACTGGACTTCTTTAAGCAGCCAGAGGAGTTGCCCCCTGCTGGCTGTTAGAGGGAATGCAGGTTAAAGTCACTTCTTCTTCACTGACTTCAGACCTGGAGGATACGTCTGTCTTTTATATAAAACTTGTGTCCTGGCTTAGCTGCACGTTGACATGACAAACCTTTCATACAATAAATCCTCATATGGCGTCTTCCACACTGGTTAATCTGTGTCCGTGTGGCTGTCCCCAAAGTGATGTATAAGGACGTGACCACGCTTACCTGTTTGAGAGGCCCTAACATGTGGTGCCTGAACTCATGTGACTGCATTCATCCAAAAAAAATGTAGTGCTAGAGCGTTATGTCCCTCATGTGGGCTGTAATGGAGCTCTATAGACCCCCGTGAGACGGAAATGACAAGCCTTCCATACAATAAATCCTCATATGACGTTTTCTCCGTGGCTTAATCTGTGTTCGTGACTTTCACTGGGACACTGTAGTTCCAAATACATGACTGCTACAGTACAGAATTACATTACTTCAGCTAAGTACCAAACAAAGTTAAGTCTCTCTCTTTTTTAAGAATCCTGCGGAAGTGGTCCCTTTACATAAATACCATGTCAATAACCTGATTTCCACTGCTGTTTGAACTGCCAGTTTGGTAAAGTGTCACACATGGGTCAGATGGAGCGTCGGGAAGCCTTCTGGAAGAACTCACTGATGTATTAAAGCTAGAGTTGGCAGGATTGTAGAAAAACAAAGAGCAAGATAGGTTTTGAAATATACAGCTGAAACAAAAACCTTGATTCAGGATTCGCTTCCAAGCTAATCGTCCAGAACACATTAATGATTCTGCATGAGTACAGGTGGAGGACTAATCCATGCGAAAGAAGGGAGCACAGTGCAGTAAAACTCCCTCAAATAGGCTACAAATAATTCGCCTTCAAGCCAACAAAGCTAACATAAATGCAATCAAATGCACAAACACAAACGAACGTGATCATTTGGCATGTGCACGATGATGTAGGTTCAGGCGGAAGTGTGTTATGTGGCTGCATTTTGACTGCCATCTTTGTGCTGTCTGCCCACTAGGTGTAGCAATGTGTCCGCCTAGCCTTGTGGAAGACTACGATGACGTGCAATGAGTGCAAGGGCAGAGTGCGTGCAAGTAGGCAGGTAGGTAGTCAGACGGACAGGTAGTCTTATGCAGACTGAATGCAATGATTGGACTTGATACAAGATGCCACATGTGACAGGTCATTTTGATCTATTGATTGAATTTCAACAAATGTTGAAACAAAAATGCTTCGGGAATACATTGCATACATAGCTTTAAAGACAGTAGATAGTTGACATTTTGGGAAATATTTGTATTTACTTCCTTGCTGTGAGTTATCTGAGAAGATTGATGCCACTTTATCAATACAAAGCTACAACCAAAGGCCAATTAGCTCAGAACAAAGCCTGAAAATAGGAGAAATCAGTTCGTATAGTTCTTCCCGAAGCCTCAGAAGCTCACACTTAACACATTTGCTTAAAACATTAAAAGTCTAAATAGTAAAAATGACAGCTTGACATTTACAGTGATCAGTAACTTTCTTTAGTCTCTGCTGGTTTCCCAGTAACTAATTAGCAACTGAAAACTCCCACATGCACATATCTCCCATAAAACAGCTAATTGCCTCTTTTACAGTTTGCTCAGACCGGACATAATGTGTTTTTTTTTTTTTTGCTCCCCTTGCATTATATAAGCAAATCTGACAGATGTCGATGCTCACTTGCCCCAGGCAGCCATTATACAGACTGTACAGTATAAGCACGGTGGTAACATATGCACTGACCATGTGTGTGGGAGTGCGTCCTTGGGTTTGTGAGTTCAGCTCAGCCTGTGGCTGATCTTAGAAACATCTAGAAAATCAGATTCTTTCAGTTCTTTGCCACCAGTCTCAGCATTTTCCTGTCATCTCCATTCACATATAAAGCCGATTTATGAGCAATTGCATCATTCATTTGGAATTTTTAATACTTTGACACTTGCTTTGTATCTATTTACTAAAAAAGAAAAAAACAAACACTTAACAAGGCCTGACAAGTGGCATGTCTACACAGAGAACTTCTGATTCTGACTTTTGACATAATGTCTCTCACGGAGGAGTTTACAAAATCCTTAATACAGATGTCATAGCAAGAAAAGCTGGAAAAGCCAAATTTCTTCTTCAGTCTCTCCACCATTGCCATTGTTGTCGTCGTCAACCTTCTTTACATCCACATAAACATATTCTACCAGTTAGTGCTGCAACCATTTATCAACCTGTTGTCAGCTATTCAATTAACTGCCAACTATTTTGATAACCTTTTATTTATTTATTTATTCTTTTATTGTTATTATTTCTCTATATATCCAGGACATACAGACGAACCAAAAAGACATTTCTCTCCCCGTGCATTAGTGCCATGCGATTAAAAAGAAACGATCTAAATACAGTATAAATAAAATTAAATGAAATTTCTAAAAATCAACCTATGTACACAACTTATGAGTCACTTTGAGTAGAATTTAAGAAAAAAAAGTAACTCCAGCTCATTAAACTTGAATATTGTCTCATCTTTTTCCATCCTCTGTGGCATATGACTATGACTCTTTGGATTGTAGACAGATAAAGACATTTAATGATGTTAGGCGTTGGGAAGCAATGATCAACGTTTTTTCACCATTTTTTTTTGTGACATTTTCTGAACCAAACAAGTAATCAAGACAATTTAACAAATTAATTAACAATGAAAAGATGCAGCCCTTCTACCAGCCAGCTAACTGTCTTGAAGAATGCAGAATAAGCAGGAAAGCCTTCATATGAAGACCAGTAGACAGTTTAAAAGCTTATCAGGTTTGGGAAGAATTGTAGATCCTCATGCATGCAGCATAAACATCTCACTCGTGTGTCATTTAAACACTGTAAATCACTCAAAACAAAAGCACCGATACAGATGCAACTCCTACAGAGTAGTGGCAGCATATCAATAAGGATATCGTGGCACACGTGAGTAATATGCGTGCTGGAAGTGAAGCAAAACTCACACGAATAGGCATGTATGCATGTGCTGTAATTGCGCTGCCCTGGCCATAATTTCATACCTGAGGTAATCCGTCATTGTAAGAATGTGTCAGTGTACAGTGTCTGCTGTTTGAGGCCCTCACATCTGGAGCGCACAAGGTTGCTGCATTCCTCAAACAACCAGTGCCACATTACTTTGGCTCTCAAGTGGGTGATAAAGTAAAAGTTTCGCCCAAATCCCATAATCCTTTGAGTATCAAATACCCTGAGGGGCATTTTCAGCTCTGGATGTTCCCCTTTTGCAGTAATTTTTTCATTGTAGAAGATAAAATACCAAAGTTTGAAGACACCCTTGCAGCAGAATCCACTTCTCTTCTTTGCGTCACAAAGACTCGACGTGCTTCAACCTCTGTTAATGATGCTATAATTTAAGTAGCATCCGCCGTGAGTTTGTGTAGCCACTTAGTTATGGGTCAAGCGTTGCTATCGTTCGAAACAGTTAAACCACTTGAAATGTCTCTTTGCAAGCTCCTAAGTGCTCTTACGTGCTTCAGTACAAGCACTTTGCACTTTCGTAATCATTCTCGAACCCCCCCTGCAAAAAGAAGTAGATAAATTACTAAATTTACTGAAGCACCGTGACCTGAATGAATGAGAATCTACAAAGAAACTGTGTTTCAAAGCTCAAACAAAACTATGTTTTGCAAAAAGACAGAAAAAAATAAACTGTCAGAATCTGTCTGCATCAAACCTAAAAGTACATTTGATGACTTGAATTATTATGCAAGAATGTCAAGAGAATAATTCAGTATTCTGGGAAATATACTGATTCATTAATATGAAGCTGTAGAAGCTAGTTTGCTGAGCTTAGCCACAAAAAAAAAAGAATGCCTAAAGGTAGCAAAATCTCTGTAAAGCTTTGTTATGATATGTTATGTAATGGAGTGTTTCTTGACATTGCTTAAGTATTCCCAGACTTGAAAAAAAAGGCAAAAAAAAATCCTGTATAGCTCAGCACCATCTGTAGAACAGCAAACCCAATATAACATGTTAATTACTGTGCTACTGTACAGATTTATTGCATCTGGGCAGAGCCATGCTCGCTGCTACCCCATGTTTCCTGTCTTTGTGCTCAGCTAAGCATTGCAGCTTTCATATTTAACTCACACACATGAAAGCGGTATCGGTCTTCCCACGTACACTGAACAAATTATAAAACAAAACATACAAATGCTCTTTTTTTCTGACTTAAAAGAAAAAAAGCAAATGTTACTGGACATCTAGATGTATAACTCAGTAGGTTTTCTGACTTAAAAGAAAAGTTAAAAATGTCATTTCTATTGAAATGGTTTGAATAATGTTAAATTTAGCCAATTGTGCTTAAAAAGTTTCGTGAGCCGTTCAGCTGGTGACAGATCCTCCACCACTGAGCCAGATGTGGCTTTAAAGGACAATGATCAGATAGCGTGACCCCTTTGACCAGCGCCTATAAAAGGCCTCCTTAAAATGCATCTTTATTTAAATGACTCGATACCACAGATAAGAAGAGAAAGAAAAAGCACTGTTAGTATGCTGAGTAATGGCACGCCAGGCCTTTAAATGTCCACAACTCCACCATTTGTTGCATTTCTTGGATTCAGCGATGGCATGAAGTCCCCGTTTAGGCTGGGGCCAGGGGAATTATGGCATCTAACACTGCCGGCATGGTCCTGCTCAGTGATGGCTTGGAAATGCTGCACATGTCTCCAACCTCATGCTGGAATGTGCTGGTAGTCAAAATCCCTTAATGCTTTCTATTTGTAGTTTTACTATTCTACTGCTAGATTATGTGTGTAAGCATGGTCAGAGTGGTGCTTATATTTGCACACATTACTAAGTACAAGTTGATAAATTCCACACTTTGCATGGGAATGTTCGCACACATTCATTATGCCTACGTCTGTGCATGCACACGGATGATAAATGAGGCCCCTGGTCTCTGCAGTGTAGCTGCAACCTAATAGTTACTCTTCAATATGGTGCAGTTTATCAAGTGCAGCCGCAAGCGACCCTTTAGGAAGGAGAAACCTGAGAGAAAAGTTGCACCGGAGTGTCTGTGCTCCCATTACTCATACTGCATGCCGACATGGAGAGAGGCAGAAGAATTATCAGTGCTCATAGTGCAACAGTAGAACATGACAGTAGAAGGAGGAGAGTAACTTTATTGATCCTTTAACAGGAAATGATTTGTTACAGCAGCTCCATTAAAAGACAAAACACAGACAACCCCACAAGACACCTGACATGGAAGGCACGCATAAAATATAAAACAAAATATACAAGATAAAATTAACATTTAAAAAAAAGTAAGATAAATAAATAGGTACTGAGTGTGCAAAATTAGACTGTGTGAAAGATGGATTTTAAAAACGCATGTACATAAAGTGTCACAGTTGCTCAGCCATGTGGTTTTGTTGTACATTATGGAGTCTGATGGCAGTTGGCAGGAAGGACCTCCTGCTGCGTTCAGTCCTGCATTTTGGAGGAATTAGTCTGTGACTGAAAGTGCTTTGCCGAAACACCTCCATGACATGAAGTGGGTGGGCTTCATTGCTCACGATAGAGTCCAGCTTCCTGAGCATTCTCACCCCGGCCACCTGCTGACCCGTGTCCAATTCAACCGCAGCGATGGAGCTTGCCTTCTTAATCAGTTTATTGAGTCTGTTTCACTCTGCAGTGGCAGCCCCCTCCCTCCAGCACACCACATCAAAGAAAAGTGCACTGGCCATCACAGTTTGGTAGAAGGAGCACAAAAGAGGCTTGCAGATGTTGAAGGATCTCAGCCTTCTGAAGAAGTACAGTCTGCTCTGTCCCTTCTTGTACACTGCCTCCAAGTGGCTGGACCAGTCCAGCTTGTTGTCCAGCTGTAGTCCCAGCTATCTGTAGCTGGAGACAACTTCCACCTCTGTGCCCTGAATGGTGACAGGGTCTGGTTTTGGCCTCTTCCTCCGAAAGTCCCCTAGCATTTCCTTGGTCTTGAAAATGTTAAGCTGAAGGTGGTTGAGGTTGCACCAGTCCACAAAGTCCCTGGCCATCCTCCTGTATTCCACCTCACACTCTCCCTCAGTACAACAGACCACCGCTGAATCATCAGAAAATTTCTGGAGAAAGCAGCTGTCTGAGTTGTACTGGAAGTCGGATGTAAAAAGTGTGAAGATGAAAGGGGACAGGATCATTCCTTGGGGGCCCCGGTACTGCTCAGGACGTTCGGAGAAACACAGTTCTGAAGGCGCACATACTGTGGTCTGTAGTCCAAGACCAACGCTGACTCCACCTACATATTCCTCGTCTTCTCACCAAGCAGCCCCAGCTGGATTGTATTGAAGGCACTTGAGAAATGGACGAACATGATCCTCACAGTTTCATCAGAGGTGTCTAGGTGAGCGTGGGCCCTCTGTAGCATGTAGATGAGGGCATCATCCACACCATCCACAAACTGTAGAGGATCCATGAACGTCCTCACCGTAGGTCTTAAGTAGGAGAGGACTAATCTCTCAAGTGTCTTCGTAATATGTGAGGTGAGGGCAACAGGCCTGTAGTCGTTAAAGTCAGCGGGGTGTCTCTTTGTGGGGACAGGGACTAAGCAGGATGTTTTCCACAGTGTGGGGATCCTCTGTAGATGCAGGCTCGGGTTGAAAAGGTGTGTGAGGATGTCACACCGCTGACTGGAGCAGGTCTTTAGCAGTCTGGGACTGATACCATCAGGTTCAGCTGCTTTTCCCGGCTTCAGTCTGTCCAGTTCTCTCTTGACCTGATATGGCAGGAGTGTTATGGGTGAGGTGGAGATTGAGCTGGTGGAGCGGGGAGTAGGCATCCCAGGCAGCAGGCAAGGTGGAGTGGAGCTGTCGGATCTGTTGAAAAACACATTCATGCCATCAGCCAGGTCCTGGTCTCCAGCAGGCAGCGATCCACCCTTCTGCACGTGGCCTGTGATTTTCCTCATGCTGCTCCAGACCTGCTTCACACCATCCTGCTGCAGTTGGTTTTCCAATTTTTGCCTGTAGGCTTGTTTCCCCTCCTGAATCCAGATTTTCAGTTCCTTTTGCTTTGTCCCTGTGACCCTCCCTGAAAGGCTTTTTCTTCTTGTTTAACAGGCCTTTCAGACAGCTGGTGACCCACAGTTTATTACTGGGGAAACACAGAATCTCTCTGCTGGGTGTATTGACATCAACACAGAACTTGATGTAATCAGAGACACAATCTGTGAGTCCTTCAATGTCATCCCCATTTGACTCACAGAAAACGTCCCAGTCTGTGAGCTCCACACAGCACTGTAGAAATTCTTCTGCTTCATGGGACCAGCATTTCACTGATCTGGTGGTAACAGGCAGTGTTTTAACAGCAGGGGTGTAAATGGGAGAGAGTTGTACCAGATTGTGGTCTGATCCTCCAAAGGGGGGGCAAAGCAGTGGATTTGTGTGCATCTTTCACATTAGCATACAGAAGATCCAGGGTCTTATCTCCTCTTGTAGGGCAGTCCACAAACTGTTTAAAAGTGGGCTGGAGAGAGAGGCATGGTTGAAATCACCAGATACGAGGATGAATGAGTTTTTTGCATGGTATAGGAGTTAATAAATCAGACACTTGGTGGGAGATAAATGAAGTTGTTAATGTTTATTGTGGTTTCTCCTCTCATCTGTTTTTTAGATTGTGGCATATCCCGTTGGAGGAAGGGTAGGAAGAAAGACTTACAACCCGAAAGCTGAGAAGAAGCCAGCGGAGCAACGTCCCTATCGATAATAATTAGGGATTAGTGTTGTTGTCTCCCTTGAACTGGAGGTAGAGGGGTAAAAGGACAACACTGAAACAAGAAAGTTCAGTCCTGAATTGTGAACATCAATAAGTCTTTCCCAAATGTGCCAAACGGAGCCAAGATTGTCTCGATGACGGAACCCTGACACGGCTCCATCGGCCAAAGTAGACGGAAGTTGCGGGCACAGTAGCAGCTTCTGTGATGAGCACCTGGACTTTCTATTAAAATGAAAAAAAAAAAGCTCAGTTTTAAGTAAATAGCTTCCACTCATCAGATTTTCCAATTCTCTGCCAGTCAGGAAGCCTGAGGTTTTCTGCATTTCTCAGAATTGATGGTGTTTCACTCTGGTTACTAGGTTTGGAAGAGATTTGTTTATGTTCACATATATTGTCTAAACTGTTGTATGATCAGTGTATTATTTTTTTAAGTGGATTCTTTAAAAAGGAGGCACAAGCTGCTTACTTCTTGTCAGCAAACGCTTTATTTCCATCGCTATGGCTTTGCCAAATCTCAAAAAGCGCGCACTGTGTTCCAGTGGACCTGCATGGTTTCATCTAAGAAACCGACAACAGAGACTTTGCATTGGATTATACTGAGAAGCATCCACTGACTGTGTCCCATCGCCAGACTTCTCTTCTCTGAACACCTTCTTTAAACATCAGTGAGCTGAAGGAGCCGTTTAAATGAACTCCAACCCTGAACGCAGACTGGTAACTACTGTTTTCTCTTCTCTGTTTTATGCTGTTTGCCCAAATTCCATAACCAAAAACAGACAAAGAAATAAGTTCATTTTTGCCCACCCTGCATATTTCTTTCTTTATGTTTATAATGCACGAAGAAGGAGAGTTGAACCTGGAGAAAAAAATGACATCCATTATGTCTGTCTGTCCAAGCGTTCAGTATTTTACGGTGGATCTGTTATTGAATGTTTTCATGACTTATTACATGTACAGAGCTTAAAGAATGATCATTACCATTTCAAGCATGAAGTAACATCACAGAACTTTATAGTCTGGCCCCAAATCTATATAAATAAGCAGCTGCCATGGTATTTGGCCAATAGATAAAGATTTGCAGGAAGAAAGGATGATAGGTTGCATTTTTCTTGACACAAAATTGGCACTGCAGTCTGGTTTTGGGCTATTTTGAACGGAATTTTAACTATGAAAAGCTGTATAGATGAAATCTGAACCTGAACTTGGCGCAGTTGCAAACACAAGCACCGAGTTGGTTCTCAAGATTTAAGTCATTTACACTCTCAAGCTCTTTGACCCCAACATGTTCTGACTGAGATTTTACCTCAAAACAAATCAGTATTACCTACCCGTCTGAGAAGCTGTTTAGGTTCTAACAGTGCTTCTGTTCCCCCACCCCCCTAAGAGCACAGGTCAAATCGAGGAAGGTTTTGAAGAAGTAACACAAACAGCAATATACAAACGGGTGACAAATTAAAGGAAAAACCAAACATAAAGTCTCTCACTACAGTGTTGGATCTCTATCTGCCACCAGAAGAGCTTAAATGCACCTTGGCATTGATTCTTCAAGTCTCTGGAGAGTTAAAACATAATTCCTACAAAAGCTACTTCCTCCTTTAGTGTTCTAATGATGGTGGAGGAGGAAACTATCTTAACACGTCGTTCCAAAATCAATCAGAGGTGTTTAATTTGGTTGAGATCTGGTGACTGCAAAGGCTACAGCATGTGATTCTCTTTCATACTCGTCAAACCATGAAGGTAAATTTAGTTTGAACATTTACTTGCAAATTTTGAGCATCAGACACTCAATTTTTCTTGCATTCTGGTGAGATTTGTGCATTTTTAGCATAATTTATGGTGAAAATGAAACGAGAAACACAAAATTCAAGTCTACGTTCCAAGGACAGTGCAAAATATTGAGACGATAAAGCAGTTAAGTTCTCAGTTCTTCTGAGTTTGTTATCCTGTAGATCAACTCATTTCATTTTATCCCTGCTGAGTCAACACACCTGAAGTCACGAGTTACTCTTTAAGTGCACATGTGGCACCTTTTCCAATATTAATGAATTTATTCATGTTAATTTCTTCATAAACCGTTGGGCTTTATTAGCTCATTTATGTTTCAGCAAGATTTCTATCAAAAATGTCTCCATGTTTAGAATATATCAGACATATCTGTTTGATATGCTCAAGGAAAAAAAAAAACTTTCTTACCTTCTTGTTTTTACTTGTGTTTACATCAAAGCATGGAACAGTTCAGCGAGCCCTCGTGCCCTCTGCATCGGACGTACTGTCATCCTGGAAGACAGAGCTCCCATCAGGACAGTAAAGTTTTGTCATAGGATATGTAGGTGGTCACAACACAACAGAGCCACAGGATCCCCTCACTGTAGAAATCAAGGCTCATGTTTTTTCTGTAATTTGTCACCTGTCTGTACATTGTAGAGGTTATGCTTTTTTTTTGTAATATACACTTTGACTGTGAGGCCCAGTGTGTAAAATTTGTGGAGGGAAAAAGCTGGAAAATGAAGACAAATCATCTTTTATTTTGTATAATGTGACATGGAATGTCTTTGGGACGTATTCAGGCCAACATGAGCAACAGTTTTTAAACGAAGAATCCACTTAAACCCCAAAACCTGTGCATGGGAGAAACTGGGGAGACTGTTATGGTGACTCAGTGCTGTTGTAGATTTTTATTCTACATGTACAAAGATACGTTTGTTGACTGAAATAAGTAGTTTATTAGTAGACATACTGCACATATTTAATAAAGGATTGGCAAATAGCTCCATTGTTTCTGTAACAGCAGGCATATCTGCTTGGAGTCACAGTCAATGTCATGCTAAAGCTCCTGAAAAATGTGCCCTTTGCACAAACATACTTCCACAGCAGTAGCAGGAATTAGAGGTCGGCCAACATGTTTTTTTTTTTTGTTTGTTTGTTTGTTTGTTTTTTTTGCAGAGCTGATACATGATATTGCTGATATTAGTAATCCAGGAGATATTTAGACACCGTTTAGAGCCGATAGCGTGGAGTAAAAATTTAAATCTTGGTGTCAAAATTTAGAATAACACAAACTCCAACACAAAAATTTGTTGCAATACGATTATCTACTTTAATAACATTTATCCTTCAGTGTTACTTATAATATATAACCGATCTGATCCATCAGATGTTCCTCCAGACTGCAGCGAGACTACTCCAGAGCCAAAGTCGTACATTTTTAAAGGTATTTATTTTAGTGGATGTCAGTTTAAACTTAATGACGATGTCGATGTTGTAGCTTCAGCCTTCTCCTGTACACTGCAACACCTTGTATTCATACAAACATGTAACTGAGATGGATGAAAACCTCCACTTATCCCAGTGTTTTATGTGCGCCAATACAAACCACTGGTATAGATATTGGGCCACCTAACACGTAGTGACTGCAGCGTTGGGAAATAAAAGGTCCAATTGGTACAAATGTTTCACAGCTGGCCTGAGAAAGCAAAGCACCCGTTGTGTCAAGGTTAACAACATGTGCTGGAGTGCATAATAGTTTCCACACATACAGCGCATCTTTGTTGCATTTTAATTAGCTCTTGTTTTTAGCTCAAGTAGGCAGAATGAAGTAAAACTGGACTAAATCGTTTGCTCAGGTAAACCAGCAAGTTAAAGTTGATTTTATTCATCTTGCAGCTTCCTGGTCATTCTGGCTTCTAACCATGAAACTAAAACCTGCCATTCTGCAGTATTTAACAAATATAAGCACATGTTTGCTGTGTCCTGTTAAGGTGGCTGAAGTGTAAAATGGCTCATTCAGTTTTTCAACCGTTTTTCAGGGTTGAAGGGACACACAAAGGCCCATTCATAAATGTTGAGATTTCAATGCACCCTTGGTTTTATTTTACATGCTTCACTTGATTTGCGATGGTTTTGGGTGTTGATAAGCTGCGTACGATGTTCTCCTTCTTCGCGACTTAATCCATTGTAGGAGGTTTAGTGATAGTAAAAAATAGTGGACGCGGTCCACCTACTTGGAGGCAATTGAACTTATGAGGCACTTGGTTTATGTAGGCAACTTTCACTTACTACAGTCCAATAAATAAAAAAAACAAAAACACTTTCTTTTGACTAGATCACTCCATCAGATTTGGTGTTTTACTGGATCTAACAGACCTGCTTTGAAATGAGGCTAAGAGAGATTATAATGTATTTGTTGGACACACACAGGCAAACACGTTTTGCAACATGTTTTTGGTTTGACATTTGGATTATTAATCTTAAAACTGCGCTTCATTTGCTGCAACCTTTCAGCCACAACTAGATCATATTCATAACTGGACTGGAGTCAAGGGCTCTAGACTGTTTGCTTCATTCGCTCACTGTTTTTCCAAGACTTGTTGTTTTTGCATGTTAGTCAGTTGTTGTGACTTTTATCTCGATGCACCTGCTTCATCGCCTGCAAATCCTGACATGCTGGTTCAGTCAGTTTATGGTGTAACATTCCCTTGTCCCTTCATTGCTTTCGTGATAGCTGTGTGTGTGACTTTACAGTTGTTGTTCCTAAGAATTTATTTCAAAAAGACAGTTATGTGTTTTCATTTTTTAAGAAATTACTTGGTAACCAAAAGTGAAAGAAGGCATTAGTCCCATCAACAAAAACAAACACCCAAAACAAATGAAATAGAAATTAGTAATGTCATTTTAAGATTTTGCATTACATGAAGTAGTATTTATTACGCAGTTTAATTAATGTGCTTCATTTTGACTTGAGTTACTTCTAAGAGTGGACAAAGTATGTGTCTGTGAAAGTTTTCTTTGTATGTAAAAATGCCAGAGTTGCAGATGGTGCATTCAAGCCTTTGCAAGCCTGATTGCGCTTTAGGCAGGAAGAGGGATGACGTTTAGTTATTATGTTATACTGTATATACAGTTTTTAAGGGGCAAAACTCCTCAGAGTCCTCATATGCAAAAGAAGCTCGAAAAGACATAAGGAATTAATTGATGTATTTCTATAAATTTATAGAGTGTATTTGTATTATACTTTATCAATCATATGTAACTGTATGGTTGTCCTTTTGTAACCATAAGAGCATTTTAAGGTATATTTAGAGATCCCTAATTGTGAAAAATAAAGCGATATTTCCCACAGCTGTCCAGCAGCCGCAGCAGCAGCAGCAGCAGAGATAACTGCAGCCACATGGACGGCTGTGGTCTGATGACAGATTTTAGAAACAGATTTTTTTTATACACAAGATATTGAATATTTATTTTTTGGAAATGTATAATGCTATGTGACAATACTTTTATGAAAGAAATACAAAAATAAATCACTATTTTTATCAACTAACCCTGCGTCCGGCGTCCAGTCATTTCCAAAGATGATCTTCGTATTGACATTATTTCACTGTGTTCCATTATTTTGACAACAGATGTATTAAACTTGAAATGGTCTAATCAAGCTATTGTTTTCTTGATATTTTATTGTCTTTTATAATGTTTTATGAGGCACCTTGTCATTCTTGTTCTTAAAGGCACTATATCAATATATGTATGTGTTGGTATTAGTAGCTATGGGGACTGTGCTCTGATGACTTGTTCTGTTAGCCACCAAATAGAAATGTTCTATAGAACCAGATAATAAAAATGTAAACGTACAGTTGAAGACAAAATGATTA